TTGGCCCCCAGTGAACATCCGATTCAATCCAACCACTAAAAAGGACTCAAATGGGTGCTGCACCTAGCCCATTAAACAGGTACCATTGGTTTTGACCCACAGCCATATGGTTTGATCTTTGCAACGCCGCTGGACAGGTTCTTCCCGGAAATCGGTGTTCAACTTGTGCCGGGGTTAAGGCTCGGCTGCCTGTGCTGGAGACGGCTGTGACCAAGACGTACGCAACAGCGCTAGTCAAGAATCAGACACTGCAAAACCCCAAGAACCTACCATCTAGAAAACCCTCCCTGCTCGAACTCGTGGACCATGGGCCCCCTTTTGGTGATTGCGGAAGACAAATTTTAAACGTCCAAATTTCAGGGGACAATGTGGGTTGGGTGTCTTTTTTGACACACAGACACACACCAAGAGGAAACAAACATAATTTATTTTGTTGTGGGTGCCAAAACAGAAAAGCCCCAACATTTGACTCCAACCAACCATTTCTTCCAACCCATGAACCCCCTGCCCCACTGAAACCAGCCATGAACAACCCCAGGGACTTGCCTGAACCCAACCATCTCGCAACCAATCCAAACTCCACCGCGGCCCGAGGCGCGTCCTTGCCGATGGCGCCCTCCGCGGCCCCCCGCGCGCGCTCGGCGAGGCCCGCGGGGCCCGCGGCGCCGCCGGCGTTCGCCAGCGACGCCTTCACCGCCGCGGGCACCGCCGTGGAGAGCAACGCGTGGGCGGCGCGGCCGTCCAAATCCAGGCCTGACACGGGACATTCGGAAAGCAGCTGCCCCGGAAAGAAAGACACAGAAAATCACACAAACAAAATCCGAGGTGATGCTTTGGTTTCCCACCCCTCCGCGTTGACACTGTTTTTTTAGCTTGAAGGAGGCATACTGCATTATGAATTATACGTGTGTAGATGCATGGGAAAGCTTGTGAAAGAAACTTGCTGTTGGCAGGTGCCAAAAGAGAAGCAATGGACTGCATATGCAGTGGTCAATGGTGGAAGCAGCAGCTGCAGTGTGCGCAGAGTTCCCACTGTTCCCTGTGTCAAGCTCATTGCCTTGACTTCTTCAAATGGTGAGCAGCAGCCTTTCGCCTACTAGCACTGTCAATGTGTGCACCGGCTCTTGCACAGCTGACAGCAAGATGTGCCATCAAACGCATACCGAACTGCCGGCTGATCCTGTTCAACATTCCAACCTAAGCCGAGAACCGGCGCACAGCAGCCGCATTCAAACATCCCTGTACTTCACTAGGTTGCAAAAGGTGAAGAACTCAAGAAGAGAGGTTTGCATGTAGGGAATCTCCTCTGGCTCGTGTTCGGTTGAATTGAACTTGCCAGGTCGCCCTCCGAACTTGGACCACAAAGCCGTGCACCAAGGGCCAAAGGCCCTGGAGGTCCATACATGCCTTTTGTCCGCCTAGGGTGGGAATTGGCTTCGATAACACCATAGATAGCCCTGGTAAATGGAATGACCAATCTATACCAGATCCATCCATTTCTAACAAATCTATCCAAAAAGGACATGGGTGCACCACTTTCTGGTCCTATGACTAGTTCTTTCGGAGCTTTTGTTTAAGCCACAAGGGGAACAGAACAAATCCCAAAACGGTTCATTCCATTTTTCTCCTCCCTACCTATCGCACCAGCAAGAATTTCAGCAGCAGAGTTGGCCTGCAGACTTCCAACAACCTATTGGGCATTCTTGGGGGGCCACTGAACTTCCCCTCCAAAGTTGCTCATATTATCTTCTTAAAAAAGAAGGAGAAACAAAACAAACATCGACCTGGACCTATTGTCTTGGAAAACAAAACCAAAAAAAACAAAAAACGGGGAAACCAAAAGCCAAAGTCGGCCGAATCGGCCGCGCATTCAATTCCTCCAGGCGGCCGATTCGGTCACCTTCCAAGCCGGCCAGCACGGCTTCGCGCGCCGCGGCGCCGATCTCCGCAGGCGACGCCCCCTGGAAATCCGAGGCGCGGGCCAATTGGAAGAGATGAATACCTCCAGTTGCTTCAGCCCCCTGAAAAAATGAGGAAATACATAGAGATCATAGAGCCCCTCAAAAACCAACAGGTAATAAGAAATGTTACTTTCAGCAAAAGGAAGTTTTGGGATGAATATCAAGCCACTGGCACCCCTGAAGTAATTATTTCCGTGTGCTTTCAGTGAAACAAGGTACCAAAGCTTGGCGCCTCAGCCTTTAGCAGGTTTACATGAAACCCCACCAAGGGGTGGGACCCCCAAACAGAGATTCCTCTCCGGCAAAAGGGCTTCAGAACGTCTCTAGAATCCGCCCCCCCCCCTGCAAATCCCCTGCCAAAAATGAAGCTTTCAAAATCGATGGGACCCTCCACATCGGTGGTTTTCCGTTTCTTTGTGCAGAAAAAACAATCCCATGCAGGTTTCTCACAAAGGGTAAACACAAACACCTTGGTACTTCCCCAAATTGGTTTCTCCGGAAAGGTTACTTTCTGGCGGCTTCTCTTTTGAAAAACCCTGAGCAGGGTCTTTGGTACCTTCCAAAAAACTAGAGCTCCCCGATGTGTGTGTGTGTGTGTGTGTTGGTTGTTCTTGAGGCTGCCTTTTTCATTTGTCCCAACAGGGAACGCCGCCCATTTGTACTGCCATGTTCTTGCTTATACTTTGGAGTGGCTTTGGAAGAGCCAGCTGGACACCAACCATTTTTACCTTGTCCCCGAACAGCTGAAAATGGGGCAGATAGGCTCTGGGTGGCTCAGCTAGGGATGGTTCCGGAGGGTTCCATGGGGTTCCGTGGGGGCTTGACTTCCGGGGATACCGCTGGGGGGAGTCTATTTTCCTTGGCCGCAGTCGATCCCTCCGCAAAAAGTTTCAACTTTCGTGGGTTCAATGACCCTTGTTTTCAACCAAAAAGTTGAAGACTAAAGAACCAACCCAACAGCAATCCAGGTTATTGTCTGCACACTCAGAGCGGGCCCACTCCAGCTGCGCTTCCATGCAAGACAGGAAGGCCAAAAAAAACGCCTCAGCCCCACACCCGGCAATTGAGCCCCGCCATCGCCCGCTCCCTCCATCCCTCGGCTCCTGCTCCGCGCGCCGCTGGGCCGCGCTCCTGGCCGCCGCGGCCATGCCCAGGCGCGCCGCGGAGCGCCCGCTGAGCCCCAGCTGAAAGGCGGCGTGCCGCGCCGCTTCGGAGAGCAGCGCGGGGGAGAGGCTGCCCTCGGGGCTGACGTGCTGTGGGTGGCTTCTGCCCCAAAAAATACTACCATAGGTGTCCTTTTAGGGGAAATAGACGGGTTTCCCTGGTAGATGAGGAAAAACCACCAGGTAAACCAGGGCCATCTACTTTTCTAGCAAAACAACACAAAAACGCCTATGAATACTACCCTCCCACCAGCCAACATTAAGTGCAGAGACCCCTGCAGAAAGACAATTTTCCTCGTGGAAAGGGCCGTTTTGCACTTCCATGTTAGTTTGGTGGGAGGGTATATCTGAGGCCAATGGCACTACCCCGAAAACACGACCGACCGTTTTTTGGGGGTGGTTTGGGGGTAGATGGATCACATTTCCGGGGTAGGAGAAAGCCTTCCGCCACCTGGAAGTTTGCAGGTGTTGCCCCCTGGTTCATCCTGATGGATAACATCCTGCACCACGAAATAGAACCACCGGAAATCATCACCACCAAATAGCGGTGACTTCATCATTGGGATTGGATTGAAAAGGACCCATTCGCAATGGCATACAATCAACGGGTGTCCGGGTCTTCGCACATGGGTATATCTCCAGACGAGTGGAACCACATCGGTGCTTTCCTCTTAGCTTTCGCTGAAAATCAGCAGGACTTGGAATGAATGATATGGTCACCTCCTCAAGAAGCCATCTACGTTTTCAAGGTTTGCCGGATGCAACGGCACCGTGAGACATCCAGGGCGTCGAAAGCAAAAGGGCTTGAACCCGATCGAGTCGGGACTCGAAGGTTCACGTGGCGGTGGCAGCTGGCCCATGCCTCCATGCAGTTGGACGCCTGTTGGTTTCTTAAAGCAACATCGTAGTAAGTGGCAGCCTCTGGCCAGCCGCAAGTTGGTCTGCGCACCAGTAAAAAGCCGCAAAAACATGCCGTTCAGGGACAGCTGGGCATAATTGGGCATGTTGCATGTGTTCAGGTTGTTCAGCCTGCGCAAGTAGCCAGCCAAGTTTTCTCCGGGGAATGTTGCGCCATGGCTCCGCCAGGGCATCCGCTACCTTCTGCGCTGCTACTTTCGCCGCTGCAGGCCGCGCCTAAAGCGGAGCACTGCGACATCCCGAACGTCGCATATGTCGTCTCAATTTTCAAGCAAGGGCAGAATTATGGCACGCATCCCCCAAATAACCTGCTGTAGCAAGCTTGTTGCCTGGCAGAAGCAGCTTATGAACGGGGAAAAGAGTCCTGCTCGTTTCCTCACCCTATCACCTCAGACACGTGCCATAAAGGAAACCAACAGCTCGCCAAGCCACGGAGCTGCAACTTTGGACCTGCTGAGGGTGGTTCAGCGGGGAACATCGCCCAGTTTGCCATACCCAGCTTTCCTGGTTTGGGTCTTCCGGGCCAAACCGCCGATCCAAATACCCCCAGTGCAGGTTTTGGTCCCAAACCCAAAGCTTTCGGGCAATACCAGCGACATCGAGTGTGCTCCATTGCAAAACGCTCCATGACAGACCTTTCAACTAGACCTGAAGACCTGAATACTGGCCCACCCGGCCGAAAGATCTGGCGTGCTGGTTGCGAAAATCTTGAAGAGGGCAACCCAAAAAGGTGAACTTTTAGAAAGCAATACCTGAAAAACCAGACACCCAAACGACATCGATCCTTCCCCGCCTTCTGCAGCTGCCAAGCCATGGCTTGGCGCGCCAGGCCCACGGACCCTGGCTGCGCGGCCACCGCCACGGCCGCCACGGCGGAGCGCGAGGCCAAGATGCTGCTGAGGTCTGGTGGCACCAGGCCCTTCAGCACCTGAGGGGCACCCGAAAAGATCAACTTACCGGTGGTTTCTATGAGCAACTTTTGGAAATCACCAGTTGGATGATCTTTTTTGGGGGGGTCATAAGGAGCAATCATGAGCAACTTTTGGCCTTTGGATCCGGGGTTTTCCAGTGACCCAAAAGGTGTTCAACCGATTGCAAGTAAACCAAACCACAAAGATAACTGGCTGGTGCGAAATCGGTAGGGAAGAAAGGAAATCAGCAGTTGGATGATCTTTTTTGGGGGTCATAAGGAGCAATCATGAGCAACTGTTGTCCTTTGGGGGGTTTTCCAGCCCCTGGCCTAACCCATACGAAGACACCGGTAAATTGATCAACTTTTGGAGGGGCACCCACAAAAATCAACTCAGAAGAAAACACTGGCTGGTGCGATAGGTAGGGAATGAGAAATGGAAAGAACCCAGGGAGTCTCCCAAAAGGAAATCAGCGGTTGGATGGTTTATAGGGGCTCATTCCAACTCATTCCCTGAGCACCAGCAAGAAAATGATCAACACTTGGCTTTTGGGGAAATCCAGTGACCCCTAAACACCAACCATGGAAACCAGTAGGAAATTGATCAACTTTCGGAGGGGAACGGTTTTCTGAGCCTTCTCCCTTTTTAAGAGAACCTCCAAGAGTGGCGATCGTTTCAATGGTCGAATGGAAAGCAACAGAAAGAATTGATGAACTTTTGTAGGTGAAATCCAGTGACCCCTGACCTTTCTGCACCGGAGCTGGGCCACTAAAATCTGCTTCTGCGCTTGCACTTTGTAACTGCGTTTGAAGCCACGTTGCTTGTGCCCAAGCTTGGCATGGTGTGAATCGCCGTGCAATCCAATCGCGAAGCTCCCCGCCATAAGAAGGAATTTCCACTCTCTTGATGTTTCATCGAGTCAACCCCACGCAAATGCAACAGCAAGAGTGAGCATGCAAAGACTATGCAAAGGCCGACAAAACATCAACAACTTGCGCAAGCGTGCACATGCGAGTAGAGTCACCTATATGGTATGAAACATGCCGGACGTAGTGTGGCAACGTGTGTACACTTTGTCATCAGGACAAAAACATGTCCCAACATGTCAGCCGTCAGCACTTGCCGAAATCCCTTCCTTGTGAATTCTCACAATGCCCATGCAACCGTTTTCACAAATACTGCGGATGGACGAACTCCTGCACCCCCAAAGAAACCCGTGTATAATGATTCCCCTGCAAATGCCAACAAACAAATCAACTTCAACCATGGCTTCATTTCGTGGCGCGATTTCTGGATTTCGCAACCATCCACAACTTTGACTGAGGAAGGTGCGGTGCGGCAACGCTCCCGAAGCACTGCAGGAGGTAGGCCCGCTGACGAGAGCGCCACCTCATCGGCCGCGGCCGCCCCTGCCGCGGCCCTCAGCTCTTCCACGTCTCCGGGCGCACGGTGCGCCCCCAGTTCCTGCACTGCTGCCTGCAGCATTTGGCCTGTCGACCTGAAAGCCGCATGCGTGCAAGCTACGTGCCTTCAGCTGAAAAAATCGACCACCCCCTTAGAGAAATGGACGCGACCACATAGCCAATGCAGAAAACAAGCAAGTCTGAAGAAAAAGGGTGGTGCTGCAACAATCGAACAGCGTGACATCTCAACGTAAGTTCGCAACAAATTCTTGAACACGTTAGTTTAAACATGTACATACATTTGCCCCCCGCCCTTCCGTAAGGCTCATTGACCATGTTATACCATGATCTTCATGTACACATGTACTGCACAAGCAAGCCACAAGCCCCACTTTCATTCTCAGCATGTCCTTCGACCAGGGGCAATTGAAAAAAACAGAGAGCACATGTACGACCCGGCATCCCAAACGCAGCTGAATCGCGTCATGGTCTCGCCCCTGCGGAGGCCCTCCGCCGCAACCGCCCGCCCCAGCACTGCCGCCAATGCAGTGCCATCCAAAGGAGCGCCAGTGCCCTGAGCTGCCTGCTGCGCCTGCCTCACCATGAGCTTCATCAGCTCGGGGGTGCCATAGCGCTGGGCCATTGAGCTCCTGATGCTCCAAACACATCCAGTGTCATGTGCCCCATGCAGCATTTGTCAGTTTGCTTTACACAAGGAAGCAACATGGACGAACGAGGACAACTTGTCCAAGTGCAAGGACAAGCTTCTTGATCACTGCACGTGCCGCCGCCTTGGCTGCTGCGTTCACCGCTGTCTGCAGCGACAGCTTGTTTTGAGAGGCACCGCTCATGCTGGTGGGCGGCGCGATCGCCAGGGCCAGCGCCAGGTGCTTGGCAGCTTCCCCTACCTCTTTGGCCCCCGAGCCCGTCGACGCCTTGTGGTCCGCCAGCGCGCCAACCGCATGCTCGCACACCGAGGCGGATGAGCGCAATCCCACGGCACCTGCTGCCAGTTGCGCCTCTTCTGCCATGAGGCTCACCGAGTTGTGCTGCGCTGCGTTGTGCCCAACCACCGCCCTGACTGCCTCCCTCAATGCTAGATCCAGCGCTCCTAGCAGTGAGCATTGAGACATTCGGACTCGTGGATTGGACAAGCTTGGTTCGTAGAACCTGATCCAAAAAACATGTTCCTTTCTTGCTCAACTCGATTCAGATGTTTGGAAGCTCTACCAAGGCTTTGACAAAGGGCTCCAAGAATTTGCTCTGAGGTGTTCTTGACATGGACGTGGCGTAATTTGGCAAACCCTGCAGTCAAACTTCGCGGACACTTGCAAAACGGTTCGCAGAACCCTGTGCTCGTAGAGATTATGGTTGGCAAAAGGGGCCGTCCATCTTACTTGTGTGTCACATTTTTTACAGTGAGACCCCGCCTGAGCTGGCGCTCTCTGCTGCTGCCTTGGCTGCTTGGCCCACCTCCTCTGGGCTCTTTGAGCTGGCCTCAGCTTCGGCCACAGCTCGGCAGGCCTGCTGCGAGGCAATGCCGCGCGCCAGGCTGGCGCTCGCCCCTGCGGCGGCTGCGGCCTGCCGCGCAAAGGTGGCAACGGCCATGGGGTCGCCGCCGACTCCAGCCAGCTGCTCGGCCTCGGCAGCAGCCACGGCCTCTGCTGCAAGTTGTTTGGCGTAGTGAGTGATCTGAATCTGGCAAGCTGCCAGGACCTGGCCGGCCGCCATGTGTGCCTGCACTCCGCATTCTGAAGCGGACACGGCTCTCAGGTGGCATGACTGTCCGACAGCACGCGCCGCCTGCATTGCGCCAAGCACAGCCTTGTGCCCTGGACAATGGCCTGCTCCTCGCAGAGCTGCCACCACTGCACCTGCGCTTTCTGCCCTCCGCGCCCCTGCCACGGCTGCTGCTTGGGAGGCAACCTCTGCAGCCACTTCTCGAGGCACCGAGGACCCTTCCGCCGCCCTCAGCGCGGCCACGCCGATGTCCGGCGCCGCGCCGCCCAGGTCCGCCACCCGCGTGGCTGCCGCCAGCGCGGCGGAGCGCGCAGCGAGGAATGCCGCGTGGGGAAGCGCCTTGCCCCTACTTCGAGCTGCCGCGGCGGTGGCACATTCGGTGTCACTGCCCAGCCCGAAGTGGAGCCACGAACCTGGCTGGATGCGGCTGGCGGCCGAGGCTTTGGCAACTGCAGCGGCCACGGCTGCAAGCTCCGGCTGCAGCTTCAGGCCAAGGCCTGCAAGGACCATCGAGGATTCGCCCTTTTCAGCCGACTTCGTGCATAGCAACGTTCGCTCCCACATGCACTGCACAAACTGATGTCTTTCAAACACCCGATTGATGGCAATTGACACATCAAACTCGCTTGAAAGCACAGGGGAAACCACCTTCAATTGGAACATGCACCAGAATGTCAAAGGCCGCTGAGCCACGCTGATCCCCGGGTTTGCAATCTTCATGCCTTGCCACCGGCCGTTGCACTGCTCCGGGCTGGAACCGCCGGAGTACACGAAGGACTCGGCCAACGTGCCGGGCCAGGCTGTGACGTCAACTGGCGCCTAAGTTTCACACGTGGAGCTGGGGGAGAAATGCAATTCTTGGTGATTCGATAGGCAGGGGATAGGGGTTGGAATGACCCCAAGGGAAACAATCCCCTATGGTTTCCTTTAAGCGAAACCCCAGGTTCAGTCCCAACACCCGGAAGGTCATTCCCTTCTGAGCACGAATGTCAGCAGCAGAGTTTGTGCGCATTCTTCCAGCAACCTATTGTCTTCCTCGCTGCAGGCGTGCCTGGTTCGCCACAGCGTGGATGGAATCGACCACCTCGCAAACAAATTGCACCCGCTTGCAGCTAAGTTCCCATAGCAAACCTTCACAAGTGGGCAATGTTTCGGAACTCACGCATTCTCAGGTCTGATACTATTTGGAGACAATGCACGCGTTGAGGGGGAACTCATAGTTCAGCAGGCTGGAAGCTGCCCGCAAGGCACTAGGCGACATGTTCAATCTCTGAATCACACCACAGACTAATTTCAACTGAGCAGGAAAGCAGGACTTGGTCCTTCCAAGCTATCTGGCCTCCATTTGGTTGCCAGAAAAAGCACCGCTCGAGTTCACTGAGTGAGGTGACGTGCTTTCTGAGTGCCTGGGTGGGTCACTCGCACGCTGCCTCTTGCGCGCCTCTTGGCGAAAGGCCGCATCTCCCTGCCGGTCCTGCCGCCCGAAAGATGTTGCGCAGGACCAACGGGTCACATGCGGCTCCAGGCAGACATCCCCCACTGACATGAAAGTTTTTAGGCAACAGCTGTGGACACAAGATGGCCCCCCCTGACACTACGGGCTATGAAGCAGTAACATAGTTCATCTTCTACACTCATCTCCGCCTGCCACACGCGCGCAAGAAGGCGTCTTTCCATGTGTCGCGTTGTTGAAACACCAAGGAAAAATGTAGATTGCAAGCATGACTGCCTGCACAAATAGCGGCCTATAATCCTGGGTCAACCTAATGGCAAGAACAACATCTACGCACACATCAATCCCTCCTGCTGCGACTGCAGAGCCAGCTCCGCCTTGTCATGGATGCTCACTCAAAGCCCGCCCGACATGTCGGTGTATGGCGACACGTACTGTGGCCGCTTCAAAC